TTAGAAGTGTCAGAAAACAAACAGGCAAACAGTGACAGAATGAAAGAAAGTCCTTCTTCTCAGCACTCTGTCCTACCTGTCCACCCGCTCCTTCTGTCTTGAACAGATATTTGATGGGTTGGTCAGTAAAGGTGGCAGCAGACTGAATAGTAGCAATAGCTGCTGGATCCTCAGCGGTAGCTACGGACCCTGAAGAAGCAAACGTATAAAATGTAAGACAGCCCTAGAACCATCAGAAATAAGTCTGAGGACACAGCAGCAGTTTAAAAAGACTGAAACTGTGTTACTTATGATTTGGCTGTCCCACACAACCAGATATGCTCTGGAAGATTACAAAACTGCAAAGACTTAAAGGAAATGTTATAGCAACAACACAATCATGTCGCTCCAGGTCAGCTGAAGTCACTCCTTTATTAATCCATTATTAATGTCATCCCTCTTTGTCTTTCAGTGTATCCTGGAATCACCCTTATTTAAGATAAACTACACAGCTACAATCACATGGAATTCAGGTTAACCAGCTAGCTAAATATTAAGCTTCTCCACAAATCTGTGTGTAAAAAAGGAAACTCAATTCCTTCACCTCCTCCAACCTAAAAGCTCCTTGTATCCATAGCCATGTGCCAGCAGTGAAAATACGTATGTGCCTGCCTGTTTGATCGGCTCTTAATGAATAATGAAGCAGTTTCACTTAATAACTGCTGGTGAGGACGAGATATCTAGCCAGCTGGCCACATAGCTGTGTAACTCATCATAACTGTCAAAATGAAAGCTCGGTCTGCTTTCAGTTGGGAGATACTGACTGTATCTTTGTCAGCAGCAAGACAAAGGAGACTCCAAGTCCCATCAACTCAACTGTACTCTCAGGCAGAACCGGCCGAGTCTGCATCGGACTGTTTAAAGTACATAGAAGTACCACGGCAGTCCGTTAGTACAGTGTTAATAGGAAACTTTAAAGGCAGTGACACACACACACACACACACAGCTTTTTTTCTTTACCTTCCTCGTTGACGGTAACAGTGCCGTCTTGTTCAGGGCTTTTCTGCTGACTTCGCACGTTGGAAACAGAGGATACATAAATTAGCTCATTCCCCTGTTAAATACAAGTCCTTGACTTTGTCGTAACTGCAACAATGGCGCATTTAAACGCCCCACTCACCTCTTCATTGCTCGGGAAGCTCTTGGACGAGGAGACCGCCTTCACTCGCTCCCACAGCCAGACTGAAACAAGTTCATGAGTTTGACAAAGACGTGGGACAAACTTTGCTCACGACTATAAAATATCGTGTGTCGATATGGTGTCGTTTGAGCGAACACACGCTTAAAGCGGGAGATTGCAGCTAAAACGACATTAGAAAAACGTTGGCGGTAGCTAGCAGTTAATGCCGAAGGAGCAGAAACCGTGCGAACGTCACGGTCTGTGCGCAGGAAACGAGCAGATGTCGCCTTCAAAGTTAAAGCATCAACACTGGTGGCAGCAAACAAGGCAAGTCACTGAAGTGTTCAACGTCGGTGTCTGTTGTAGTCAGTGTTACCTTTAACACTATAGCACGTTATATCTAGCTTATATTTGTATTTTACTGCTATGACTGAGCGAAGTTTCGACGTGTGCGCCAAATCAGCGCTTTTAATTTGACAGTTCTGGCGGAAATCTAATGTCTCGTTGCGACTCGACGAGGATCCTGTCTTTTCTGTTACATTACCGTACGGCCCCAGCGGTTTTTGCAGATGTTTAACAAAGCACTCCTCTTCCTGCTGCCTCGGTGAAAACAGTGTCTGCCCTCGCTAATAAAGACGACGTTTTTATAAAAAACATTCTAATGTCCAAATTATGCGCTTAGTTCTAAATGATGGCCAAGATATTCCAGACTGAACAAAGATCTACTTACACAGTGGTCCCTCCTCCGATATTTGTCAACAGAGCTGTTTCAGCTTTACGCATGCGCCACAGGAGATCAAGTCGGCTGCTTCCAGATCAGTAACAGCAACAATATACAAATAACTACACTTCCGTTAAAAATGAGTCTATGTTACACAACTTCCAAATATATACTTGCGTCACTATTCAGAGTAAATTGGTACATTTGACTGCATTCACGAAAGAGGACCTCACGGAAGCCCTAACGCGTACCAGCTTGACACAGGTAACCTGAAAGTGTGTGCTCTGCGGCCAGGAGGGTTCACTGTTCAGCTCGGATGTCCAGAGCGTGTGGAGGCGTCTGTGGGGTGTCCCTCGGTCACTTCAGTGTTGCCTTTATCTTTCAATGACTTCACTACATCCGCAGAGGGTCAACATTCAAAATAAACAATGACAGAAATCAACATGGGTCTCCAGTATTCTGGCGGAAATGCCGTTTTAGTTGCAATAAAAATGCATTATTATTATTATTCTTGTAGTTATTACTCGATGTAATACTAAGCGTGATGCATTATGAACGTGTTCAAACGAAAAAAAATATGAGTGCTCGGGCCAGGCGAGGTAAAAGCGCTAGACAGCGCCCGTGGTTCGAACCCTCTGACGAAGGCTGGAAGAGCTTTCTGATGCTGAGAAGTAACCACTGAGCTAAACTAACGCGGAGGCAGCAGCGGGGAAAGAGCCCTTTAAAGCCGTCTGTCCTGTCGTGTCATATCTGACCGACTTACAACTTAAAACACTCATAAATATCCGATTGCCTGAAGGCCTTATGACATCTTCCACACTATGCACTTGAAAAGGCGATGATCACCTCTTTTATTGAGTGTTTTAATCAACCTTGTGTTCAATCAATCTGTGGTGTTCCCGGTGAAAAATGTTTGTTATGCTAACTTAAGAGCTGCTAAAACAGACCGGTCAATTGTGACCGGGAACACTAGTCAAGCTTAAGGAATCACTTCCTCCTCCACTGTGAGTGGAAGAAAAATAGATGTAAAACACTGGACAGCGCCCGTGGTTCGATCCCTCTGACGAGAGTAAAGCGGTTCAAAGGTGCTGAGAAGTAACCACTGAGCTAAACCAGCGCGGGTGTGCCTGCAGGTAAAGTGCCTTCTAAAGGCTTCTGCCTCCGTGGCGAAGTCGCCAGCTTACAGCGCCACACTGCTTTCAGTGAAAGTTGTGGTGTTTAATGTCGGCGTGGAGGAACAACGAACAGAAAAGAAATCCCAACAAAACCCCAGAGATTCGAAAAAGCGCCTTTTGGAACAGAAGAAGCTGTTCTCAGCACTCCACTCCATTAAAGAAGGGATCGCCAGCTACTGCCCTGCAGCTTTCAGACGCATCCCTACTCCCACACAGCTGAATCACATCTTCAGCATGCCATCAAAGGCCTCGTAACCGGCTATTCATTTGATTCAGGTGTGTTGGAACAAGGATGCATCTAAACGCTGCAGGTCAGTAGGTCTCGAGGACTGGCGAAAGAAATAAAGAAAAGGAAAGAAGCACCGGACACGTCACTGTTACATCCCTAACCCTCCAAAAGCCTTTTTGTAGATGGAGCGGGTAGTAAACAGGATACTTGCTCTTTTGATGAAAAAAACCTACACAAATAAAAACGTTTTCTCCCGTTGGCTTCAAATAATAATAATATTAAAAAAACGTAACGTCCACGTCTCATAGACCTTGATACTTCACGTGGTTATTGTCATCACCTAGTGGTCAAATTATGATATTACAACATGACCTTTTTCTTTTTCTTTTTTTTTAAAGACATCTGTTCAATTTTCCACAGATTTATTTGATATGTAATAAATCTACTCATGGCAGTCATCTTAGGTCACTGCAGATGAAACAAGGCCCTTTTTTTTGTGGTTCCTGTTTGGCTCACGATATAAAATGTGCATTTATGCTAAAATCAAAGCACAAGCCGTGCTGCTCCTCACAGGTTTCAGATAAGTATGAGCACTGACCTTGGGTAGCGTCTTATCTCCTGCTCGAACACAGACAAACACAAGAAAGCTCACAACTCTGTTGACCACAGACATGGTAAATGTCTGTGGTAAATGTCTGTGAAAGCTCACAACTCTGTTGACCACAGACATGGTAAATGGCCTGTATTTGTATAGCGCTTTACATCGCTACACTTTAGCCCTGTGAAGCTGGAGAGCAAGAGCCGGATCATTTTGACTGTGTGACAGAACCAGCAGGTCCCATCCTGCCTTCCACAGGACATACTTAAATCTACAGTCACAATCCAGTAGTTACTTATGTTTCCAGCCCCCTCCCCCCAGTGTTTTGCAGAACATGCCTTTCTTTTCTAGATTTATTTTTTAAGTCAATTCAGGGTTACACAGAGAAACACTTCTGCATGGCAGTCATGCTGTAAAGGCAAAGGCTAAGAGTAATTACCTACTAACAATCAACAATCTGGCTTAGAGGAATTTACCAAGAAAAATCAAACGTCAGTTTCTGTACTACACAAAGGTAAGAATTAGACTCAGTGCTTTCATGAAAGGTTGCAAGAAGCCCAGAGAACAGTGAATATCATGACCCACAGTGAAAGCTGGAACACTGTGTAATAAAACAGAATCCCACATAGCCATATTATATTCAGTGCAGCAATTATCCTCTCGTCTTTTAACAACAGTCCATAAGAGACTTCTGGAAGTTTATTTATGACGTATTGCTGGCATCAAATTTAAAATATGCAAATTTCCTGCTATAGTATGATGTCTCAGTTTAAACATCTGGTGTATATTTTATGCTGTACTGTAAATAAAATATGGGTTTCTAAGATTTGCTGATCATTGCATTGTTTTTATTTCCATTTTGCACAGTGTCCCAATATCTTTGGAGCTCACAGAAGGACAAAAATACAGCTTCGCCCACTCAGTGAACTCATTTTCCTTCCTATCAGATCTTTATGACGCTGAGCTTCCCTATCCTCACATCTATGTTTTCCCACAAACTCTTAATGCTGGAAAACTAAGGTGCTTTTGAATACTGTGTTGCGATGTGCAGCAGGAGCTGGTTTCAATGACGCCCAAACGTCCTATTAAAAAACAAAGCAATAATGATACAGCGGAAGTGAGTTAATGCTTTTAATTCATAAGTCTTTAATATATCATATTATCATATATCATAGTTGGAATTCAGTTTATATGTTAACATACTGCATTATTGCATGTACTTGGGGATCAGGCCAGTAATGGAAGCCTGCATAGAAATGTATTTAAGAAAGTTTCTTAAATTTCAAAATGCCTAAATGGAACAGATACATCTGTGTTAGTCAAAGCGTTCAGAGACCCTCCTTCATGCTTGCTTCATCAGGAGTCAACGACTCTCCACAGAGTGAGGAGCACCACAGGCCACAGGGAGGTTGGGCTTGCAGCACAGCACTTTGGGACTCGTTCTGTAAGGATAAGAAGAGCACAGCTTGTCTCATCCTGTTTGATGGAGCCTGACAGTGATGCGTCTGCTACACAGTTAACACTTTCTGCTGCAGTTTGAATGAATTAACTGCACTTTTATTGAGCTCGAGTTCTTTTAACTTCTTTGATCTGTTCTCTTGACACATCAAGTTGCATGGATTCAACTGCGGCACTCCACACCATGCATGAGTGGACAACACTCATATTCATTTCAGTGTTGTATCTGGCAAGCTTTAGGATCGAGGAAACGTGATTAGAAAAAGACATGAGCTCATTTATTTTAGATTATTTTAACCACAAATTCTGTCTCTCACCTGCAGATCTATTCTACTGTAAAGATGTAATAAAAATAAATAAATCAGTAACATTGCAAGCACTAGTTATTCAGAATTGTTAAACCTGGCAGTTATTTTCTTTGATATCTGATTAATTATCGAGTGTGCTATTTTTCAATTTTATTTTATTTATACAGCGCCAAATTGCAACAACAGTCGCCTCAAGGAGCTTTATATTGTAAGGTCGACCCTACAATAATACATACAGAGAAAACCCAACAATCATATGACCCCCTATGACCAAGCACTTTGGTGACAGTGGGAAGGAAAAACTCCCTTTTAACAGGAAGAAACCTGGAGGGGCGGCGCCATCTGAGAAGGAAGACAGGATAAAGACATGCTGTGGAAGAGAGACAGAGATTAATAACAAGTACGATTCAGCAGAGAAGTCTATTAACACATAGTGAGTGAAGAAGAAACACCCAATGCATCATGGGAATCCCCCGGCAGCCTACGTCTATTGCAGCATAACTAAGGGAGGATTCAGGGTCACCTGGTCCAGCCCTAACTATATGCTTTAGCAAAAAGGAAAGTTTGAATTTTAAAAGTAGAGATAGTGTATGTCTCCTGAATCCAAACTGGAAGCTGGTTTGCCAGGAAATTGTCAACTGTATGCTAACCATCGTCCCCTAAAGCCTAGAACATATTCAAAATGCTTTGGATGCATTAGAGCAGCGGTCCCCAACCCCCGGGCCTCGGACCGGTACCGGTCCGTGAGTCGTTTGATACCGGGCCACGAGAGTTGAGGCTCAGGTGTGAAATGTATGGTTTTCAGGGTTTTATTGGTTTTCAGCGTTACTTTGTTATCGTTTTTATGGTTTACTCGGTTTTCCTGGGTCTTTTCAGTGTGTTATGAATAAATCTTCTTTTTTCGGTGCTAGTTTTATTTTGTTGTATTTATCCGCGACACCTTAAAGGCCGGTCCGTGAAAATATTGTCGGGCATAAACCGGTCCGTGGTGCAAAAAAGGTTGGGGACCGCTGGATTAGAGCACTTTTCAAAAATTTTTACATAATAATTATTGATAAATCCATTTTAAATACTAGGACACCGGCAAGCATCAACTTACTTTGATATTTGTGTCAATTAAGCAAAATTATTACACTGACAAGCACAGTTGGGGCTCAATACTGGCACAAAATATTGATTTCATTTTCCAGTTTTAGCTATTGTAAGTTTTTACAATGGAAATAAACAAATCAACAAAAGCAAAACAAAAAACCCACAATGGATGAAAAACTATTTGTTAACATTTTGCATATGACTGGGTAGTATTAGCAATTTATAGCAACAGGAAATCAGGAAATAAATCACTTTCTCTTGTATTTTGATTACAGTGAAGATTTAAGACTGGCTGGGCCACTGACCTTTAAATGATCACCTGCTGAACTAAATCCTCGCTATGAGTCTCTGTCTCTACCCACCTGTGAAATTTGCTCATCAGTTTAAAGGTGGCTATATGCTTGTGAAATTTTGCACACATGCAATCCCAAAGTGGACAATGTCTGTCTATAAACGGGCATTCAACACTTCCCAAGGTGCTCAAAATGACCTTTGTGGTAGTTCCAACTAGGCTTTTTACAACTGCGTTGCATCTTTAAAGTAATGATTATTGATTAGTTGATCTCCTTTGCAAAAGTATTACATTTCTCTCCTAACCATGGAACCCATTCTGGGTTATCTGGTGAATAAAATGTTGGCACACCGGGACAAGAACATCTTGCTAAGAAATCTGGGGGCAGAGTTGGGCTGCTGTGTAATGAATACTTACGTTTTTCTTTGTGTGTCTTGTAGTCTATGGTGATATTCTTCGTTTCAGTCCTCTTGTTTCTTGTCAGTGTGCATGTGAAGTTTGTCACATTACCAGTCTCTTCCAACTCGCTAGGACTGTGTTCTGTTAATGGGACAGTGTAATTCTTGCACATCGTGTTTTCCATTGTAGCCAGTATACCTCCATTCGATGTCTTGAATTTACAGCTGAAGGGCTTATAGGGAGGTTGTGAACAGTCTTGATAGTAGCACTGCAATCTTTGAAAAGATCAAATGGTATGGTTAATATAAGGCACACTCCATTTAATGTTAGGGTTCAGTACAGCATATGCATTCGATGTGATAGTGGCATTAACACTGAAAGCTCGAACCTGAGACTGTTATTTTCCTTTGTGTCGATGCAAGCAGTAAACACACCAAAATCCCCCATCTTTTTGGCAGAGATAGAGCCTGTAATCAGATGTTTGGATACATCATGTCATACACAGTCACAGTCAAGGCGTTCTTCAGATGTATATACAAAACTCCAGTTCTAATAGTTCCCCCAAACTAAACTTTAGAACTTCTAGTGCTGATGAACTATCATTTAGCTCACACACTTTAGTGCAGGGGTGGGGAACTCCAGGCCTCAGGGCCGGTGTCCTGCCCAGTCCTGCTTCAGTGTTCAAAAAAACTCACTTTGATTTTTGAAAAAAAAAAGCAGGACATTCAGCTGTTCAGGAACTTTATTTTCAATAGTTTCCATTCTTATAGAGCAGCGGTGCCCAACCCCCGGGCCTCGGACCGGTACCGGTCCGTGAGTCGTTTCGTACCTGACCGCGAGAGTTGAGGCTCAGGTGTGAAATGTATAGTTTTCAGGATTTTTATCAGTTTTCAGCGTTATTTTGTTGTCATTTTTATCGTTAACTCGGTTTTCCTGGGTCTTTTCACGTGTGTTATGAATAAATCTTCTTTTTTCGGTACTAGTTTTATTTTGTTGTATTTATCCGCGACACCTTAAAGGCCGGTCCGTGAAAATATTGTCAGGCATAAACCGGTCCGTGGCGCAAAAAAGGTTGGAGACCGCTGTTATAGAGGGTTCAAGCTGCTCTTGTTCGTAGACTGAAAGTTACCAGCAAACCTGACAATCTCTTAAGTGAGAAAATGAATGAATACATCCATAATCACTACAGATCTCACATTAACACAAATGGAAATTTGGACGTGACAATTTTGCTTTGCAGGCAGAAGTAGTGTGTGTGAAGGGTCTCAGTTATCAAGGTCATGGTAGTCTAAGAAGCTTGGAAAGAAAAGCGACTGGACTTCTTTAAGTTTCCTGAAGATGTTTCGCCTCTCATTCGAAGAGGTTCTTCAGTTCTAACACTGGATGGTGGAGAGTCCCAGGTAGTTAAGCCCTAGTGGGAGTTGTGTCTCATCACATGAGCCAAGGTGTGAAAAGGGATATGGGTCCTTATCAGCAGAGTTTCGGGTGAAACCATTGTGAGACCTTGCCTTAATCTATCACGGGACCTATTGAGATCACCTGATGCAAGATGTGAGTGGGCGTTGAACTGCATTGTTACGCAAACAATACGCAGTCTCGATTTCTTCTGTGGGATTTGGATGGTAGGCTCAGAGCTCAGTGTAAACCACATATATCATGTATCATTACATTAACAGTTCAGGCTGGGGTTCATGGTGTAATTGTGTAGGGATGGGTTAATCTTTGCACACACTTTGGGTCCCTTAGTACCAACTGAGAATCATTTAAACTCCACAGTCTACAGTGCATCCAGAAAGTATTCACAGCACTTCATTTGCTCCACATTTTGTCACGTTACAGCTTTATTCCAAAAAGTGTTCAGTCGGAAGATCAAACTTTGAGCCTGAGGTCCAGAGCGTTCTGGAGCAGGTTATCATCAAGGATGTCTCCGTCCATTGCTGTGTACGTCTTTCCCTCCAGCCTCTCCCAGTTTCTGCTTCCAAAAAAAAGAGATAGACGTCCTTCGGGAATGTTCACCTCTCTTGTCAGAGTAACAATGGAGCTCTGTGAGAGTGACCATTAGATTCGTGGTCACCTCCCTGGGTAAGACCCTTCTACCCTGGTCCCTCCTGCTAGCCATGCAGCCAGCTCTAGTGAGTCCTGGTGGTTCCAAATTGTGCTCACTGAAACCTTCAAGGCTATAGACATTGTTCTGTAACCTTCCTTAGACCTGTGCCTCGTTACAATCTGATGTCTGTAGATAATCCTCAGTCATCCAGGTAAGTAAAAACAGTTGATTCTGTTCATCTGGACGTTTTCAGTGGAAGAAACGTTTCGTCGCTCATCCAAGTGACTTCTTCAGTCCAAACTGACTGCAGGTTTCTATTCTATTCTAACATTCTTGACAAATATCTGTTGTAATTTTTCTCTTCTTTATATCCAATAATGATTTGCCTACATTAATGTATTGCCATGTCCACGTAGGCCTGAAAGCCACTGTACTGTCTGACTGAATTCTTTAAATGCTTTAAAACTTTAAATGCTCCAGCTTCATTATCACCAACCCACCCAAAACTACTTTTTTATCCTTTCCTCTTTCCCAACAATTTTCTAACATTTCTCTAATACGATGACTTTTATTATGACCTTTCAAATTTATACAATAATTAACCTTTAACACTTGCCTTGTAACAATTCTTCGGATTGTACTTGTAAAGCACATATTGGTGTTGTCTTAATCGTCCCTAAACAAATTATCAGTGCACCGATCATAAAATACCTTCCCTCCAATCCATACCTCCATTCCTACATACTCCAAATCCCCTTTCTCTTATTTTATATGGAATACTACACTCAATGAAACACACCCGCTGTCACGGTTCTGGGTCAGTTTCGAACCAGTATTTTGAGTTTTGATTGTTAGTTTATTTTTTGAATGATTGTTGTGGTTTTGGGTGTGATGATTATTATTATTGTTAGAGTTCCATGTTTCTGTTTATTTGGGTTTAAGATTTGTGCTCTCATGTTTTGTGTGGGTTTAGTTTCATGTGTCATTTTCTGTCTGTCTCTCTCTGTCGAGTCTGCGTCTTAGTGTGATGGTTTCTTGTTCCTGTTTTATTGTGAAGGTCTGCGTCTCATGTGAGTGTGTTCAGTTTTACCTCTGTCTCATCTTGTTGATTATTCCCAGCTGTGTCCACCACCTGTGTGTAATTCCCCTGTGTTTCTCTGTGTGTATTTTAAGTCGTGTCCTCTGTCATTGTAGTTGCTGGTCCGTCTGCATATCCGCCATGTTTCATCCGTGTGTTCCCTGCCGTCATCATCATGTACCATCGTCTTCCTTCCTTTATGTTCAGGTTCGTGTTCGTGCTCAGTAGTCTAGTTGTCCCAGTATAGTTTAGTTCTCCGTTTTGCCGTTTGCCTCTCTTTTTGTGTTCAATAAATCACCTTTACACCTTCACGACTGCCTGCGTTTGGATCCTCCTTTTCCTTTTCTACACGGCTCTTTTCACTCGCCGTGACACCCGCCTCCATTCCCTTCTTTCCTATCACATCTAACTGCAGTATATCCAAATAAAGTCCAAAAAAGTCTTCAACCATGTTTCCTGTATACAAATTATGCCATGTTTTTCTGTCTGATTGTATATAAACTGTTTATAATCTTGACCGTTTGACAAAAGACGACTTGCATTCCACTGTAGGATTAATATGGGTATAAACTGAACCATTACATTCCCCTTCTTGACTTGCCCAACTACAGTTTAGATATGAAGAATATCAGGTGAACTATGACATGCCGCCTTCACAATAATCTGAATCGTCTCCGTCTTGGACTCATGTTGCATTTATTACAATAAATGTCACCATCTTCTTCTTGTCTTCCTCCATTTTTCTTTCAACCGTGTCCACAGCCTTTTTCATTACTCGTTTCTTCCCTATCATGGGTTTTTCACTCGGTCTCTCTTGCTCAACAACACGCCTCTGCACCTGTCACTTCCTCGTTTGTTGAGCAACTGTCTGCTGCCTCGGCACTTCACATCCCCAAAAAGCAACACTGTTCTCCTCCGCAACTACAACATTTTGGTTTTACTCCAACTCCACATTTTCCTTGCTGATGATCTCCAGAACATCGGACACATCTCCTCTTTCCTTTACACATCTTAGCAATATGTCCAAATTGCTGCTAACACCTCATTGGTTTGGGTACAAACTCCATCACACTGAAACGCATCAATCCAATGAAGATCACCTGTGGTACCTCTTCTGTTTCAAATTCCACCTCCACAGGTTCTGTTTCTCCTCTCTGTGGACCTCTTGTCATTAGTCTTACTCCTTTAACTTCCCTGTTTCTGAGTTATAAATTCTCACCCATTTCTTTCATATTTACATTTAACAGCACTACTACAATGGCTCCTTTATTTCCATTATTTCTCTTTCTACTACTCTTACAGTTGTTTTAACACAAACCCCCACAGGTTTCTTCACTTTTACCACCTCAGCTTCTGTGTTACAACCAATCAGCAGATTCCAATCTTCAAGAATCTTAGCATTTTTGATTTGTCCAACTTGTGCTGTAAGTGTTTTTCTCAACTTAAGAGGATTGATTTTCTTTACGCCCTCTTCTTCAAAGCTTGCACTGACATTTACAGATTTGTCTTCTGACTAGGGCTGGGCCATATCATACCGTTCATGGTAATACTGGTATAATTTTGGGCAACAATAGAAAAATGAAATATCGCGATAGAATATTAGTAAAACGCGCATGCGCAGTGCCTTTGTTTTCATACGCACACGTCGGAAAAAGCATGGCGGCGAAAGCAAATCGTTGAATGAAACAGATGAACCAGAACTGGTTTGTAAAAATGCTGCAGCTTCAGTGGTGTGGAACTGGTTTATAGTGATGTGCAGATCGATCCTGATATATCGATTCCTCCGATATCAAACATTTATGTTCTAGAATCGATTCTCATATTAAAATATCGATATTTTAGTAATTTAGGGTAAATTTGTAGTTTATCACTAACAGGAACACAGTGGAAAGAAACTATAACATTCGGATTGTCTACATTCAAAGGAACTACTTCCTCTTCCGCCTTTCATAGTCATGTGCGAAATACGGCTGTATAACAATGGCTGAGTGTAATTGTGCGGACGTATTTTATCTCCACAAACAGCTGAGACGTGGTTTGTGTCACGGCTGGTGGGGTGAGCCGTGTGGTGTAGGAGGAAAAGGACCCAAAATGCAGGCAGTTGACTGGTGATGAGAGTGAAGTTTTATTTGCAGAAGTGGAGCGACTGAACAGGTAGTGAGAAAAGACGAATGACTGAAAAAACCTAGACTGGGAAAACTAAATAACAAACCTAAGCATGAAACGGGGAGCAGAGAATGCAGAGCGACGTCGTTACACCGAGAAACACAGACGATCCGACGATGAACAGAAGCCAACACACACTATAAATACACACTAGGTAATGAGGAGATGACATGCAGGGGTGGACACAGCTGTTACTAATGGACATGATGAGAGGCAGACCTACAAAGTAAAACCGGAAACACACAGACTGTTTTGCAACAAAAACGCAGGGACCTGAACAGAGCACAGAGGGGAGACACAGCTGGGAGCAATTAGGCTAACGAAACAGGGGAGAGGTAAAACTGAACACACTGACATGAGACATGAACTTTCAGAGTAAAACAGGAAACTAACAGACACAGAGAACCAGGCAGGACACTGAACTTGACAGGCAGACTCATGAGCAGACACAATGACACCATGGACAGACAGAGGGAACACAGAGAAGTGGGAGCAGGCAGGCAAAGAACAGAAACCTAACAAATGGCAAAATCACAACAGAATGCACACTCGGAATGAACAAAAGCATAAGGAAACACAAAACACTGAGTCCTCAGACACAGGACCATGACAGTTTGCGATACATGTGGCAAAAAAGTGAGGTGTTGTGGCCATAATTGCCAACCTTGAGACCTCAGAATTAGGGAGACATTCAAAAGGGCTGTTTTGGGGGGGGGATAATTTTACAGTGTTTATTTATCGGATAAAATACGTTAAATGTCACCGTTATTATTGGCCGGCCTGGAAACACCGGGGGTGTCCAAATTCAGAGGCTGCTTCCACCTGAGGACCCGCCCTTCGCGGTCTAAAGAAAGCCGGGTAGTACGTCACGAGCTCCCTCAGTGGAGTGAAACTCTGCCGTCTGCTCCTTGCTATCTAAAATATAACCGGGCGCTGGCATAAACTCTCGACCGTCTCACACTTTGTTTAATTAGTTTTCTGTTTGATGTTTATTCAGCTGTGTGAAAACCCGGAAGAACCCTCCCGAGGGATTAATAAAGTTAAATTTAATTTAATCTAATCTAATAACTTTAATCTCAGCCAAAATGATTTACTCACGAACAAATAAAACACTGAAAAAGCCAAACAAGAACATTTTTAAGTTAGCAAAGTGACTTATATATCATGTTTAACGCGAGCAGTGAAAGACGATGTGTCGGTCGGCTCAGATGTTTGAAGTTTACACAGCTACATTCTCACCTGAAAATGCGACCCAGAAAGACAAATAAGAGTAATATTAAAACTGAGTAGCTGCCGCCATTGTTGTAAACTGGAATTGGCTGGGCCGCGCTATGAATATGCAATATGGTTTTCCAATTTTGTTGCCCGGGTGGAAAATTGGGAGAAATTCGGGAGAATGGTGGCTCCGGGAGATTTTCAGGAGGGCCATTGAAATTCGGGATTCTCCCGGAAAAATCGGGAGGGTTGGCATGTATGGTTGTGGCAACATCACTAACCTTGTCAAACACCTCAGAGTAAATCATATCACAGAATATGACGAACGTATGTTGAGGCGAACTGAAGAGGAGGACAGGGACAGGTGCTGCTAGGGCGAGACAGACGTCTCTCACAGAGTCCTTTAGTGCTGCAGGCAGGCAACGTGTTCAAATAGGCACAACTTCATTTTTTTTTTATTTCTATATGATGAACTCTGCGTTATTAAGTGATAAGAACAAATAATCTGATGTCCTGTAATCATTATGACGCTATAATTTGAGATACAATAAATAAAATAAGTTTTTGTACAAAGTATCGGTATCGGATCAGTATCGTCGATACCACCCTGAATATTACTTGGTATCGGATCGGAAAGGAAAACAGTGGTATTGCACATCACTACTGGTTTAGCTTTCGTCCGTCAGATACACAACAAAGCACTATTTTTGGTGGAGCATGCTAGCGGGCCGTCGTTATTACTGTGTTGTTTGGAAAATACGGGGCACTTAAAATCAATCCTTTGATTTCTCTGAAAGTCGACAGAGCCCCTTATAATCCCGTGTGCCTTATGTTTGAACTCTGGTTGTGTTTACTGACCTCGAAACGATTTTATGTGCACGGCGCTCGAAAATCTGTCAGATGTTTCAGTACGACTTTGCTAAGCTACGAAGCCGCACCGCTTGATAGATTGTTGGAGCATTGCGGCTATCGTAGGCGGAGCCTCGCGGAGTGATACGTTCTGTGCTTCAACATAATGTTACCGTATTGTGTGTGTATAACCTCTTTTTAAGTTTTGTGGATATTATACATGGTTATGCTGAGGATATGTCGGCCAGTTTACACTGAAATGCCTTTTGGTCAAACTGTCAGCGAGGAATTTGCACTGTTACATTTTTATATAACTTTAATGCACATAAAAAACAGCTGCTTGTTTAAGTGCAAATACACTGATGGGTTTTTTTGCACTAATAAAGTTGTGGAGTTGTAAAGCATTTTGTCTAGTGTCAATTATATCGTCAGTTATATCGTTATCGCAAATTTTCAAATGTATATCGTGATAAATATTTTTGGTCATATCGCCCTGCTCTACTTCTGACAAATCGGTTTCTTCTGTACTACCCTCACGTCTCTCTTTTTCCTCTTCCTTTCACTTGCTCTGCGCATGTTTCCACCCTTCCCCACCTTTGCCCACTCATTCTCTTCACTTGGACCACCAATCACTTCCTTTCACCTACCATCCATACTATTCCTTTCATTTTTTCTCCTTCCATCAAGGCCATACCCTGGATTATGAGAGGAAGCCTGCAGGTGATTGTTACCCTCAGCCAACTCTCCTGTGAAACCTCGCTCACTCCTTAAAAAAACCCCAATCAACTCCAAAATCCACACTGTTGACACTGAAGCAGTGTTGCCAACTTAGCGACTTTGTCGCTATATTTAGCGAGTTTTCAGACCCACTTAGCGACTATTCTTTTTCCCTAAAAAGTGACTAGCCACAAATCTGGTGACTTTTTCTACTGTTATTGGAGACTTATTTATGACAACTTTTTGACATGAAAGCGCGTATCGCTCTTACTCTCAACAAGCAGCGGGTGCTGCCGTGGGCACCTCGCCTGTGCCACTCATGGGCAGAAGATAGTCCTCACGCAGCTGCTATCAGGGCAGGAGACGTTCACACCTGCGTCCAAACCGCAAATGAAACGCGCATGAGCGAAGCCGCTGCTCCCACACTGACTGTAACGCAATCTTTTCTTGTTGTTTTGTGGATCACAAGGTTTAAAACTACTTATAAACACACACACACAAAGTAACTCCCCCAGAATGCCTACTTTGAGTCACTTTTGCTGGTCCAGGCCCGGGTAAAGGAGCAGGGTTGGAATGGTGACATTAAAAACAACAATAATTGCTAAAAGAAATTTAATTTGTGGTGACAATTAAATTCTAAATGCATTTAACTCACTTTATGTCTCTTCCATGATTTTATTTCTGTCTCCAAAAACGTAGGTTACAATTACATTAGCATGACCAATTATGCAAATTAGGCAATGATGTCATTTAGTGACTTCTAGCGACTTTTAGGACAGCCAAAAGCGATTTTCCTTACTGAGGAGTTGGCAACACTGCACTGAAGGCACACAGCTCTCCAGACCTGCCAGTCAAGCACCTCACACCTCTGACACTTTCCACTGTGAGACCTTATATACACAGGCCTGTGCCTTTCAAAAGCATGTCCAATTAACTGAGTTTTTTCCACAGGTGGACTCAGATCAAGTTGTAGGAACATCTGACAGACGATCAATGGAACGTTGGAACATATATGTAAATATATGTGTGCATGTATGCATGAGTGTATCCGTATGTTTGCAGGTGTATATATAACTTGTACATATCGTTCTTGTGTAAATGTAAATTTGTCTGTGTTATTTTGTAAATACATAAGCTATTGGCATCTTTCCATGTGTGTGAAATACACAAACTGCCTTTCTTGTAACAGTGACAATAAAGAGCCATTCTATTCTATTCTATTTCACCATGAGCACTAGCTCGACCTGTTGCCTGTAGTACTAGCGAGGTGTAATTAACGTGAAGTATCTGGTGAGCAGATGTATGAATATGAAGCTACTTCCGTAAGATTATTACTTTTACTTAAGATAAAAAGTTTTTTTCTTCCAATTTGCAAAATATTTATCCAGCACAATATTACGTTTAAATTATGTCTTTGCCTTGTCATCTGTGATAGGACACAGGGCTGAAAATCACATCCAGTGTTTTCTAACACCAGTTTTCACTCTGATTTTATTTCTGATTAAATATTCAGATTTTCTTGTGGGCCTCCTTACAAACTGCTAGTAAAAGCCTGCTTCTAAATAATGTTGCATATTCTTATGATTAGCAAAATGACTTCGAACACTACAGCAGATCTGTTGCTGAATATCTATGGGCCGGTGTCCTGCAGGTTTTAGATCTCACCCTGGGTCAACACACCTGAATCAAATGAGGAGTTCATCACCAGGCCTCTGGAGAACTTCAAGGCATGTTGATGAGGTCATTTAGCCGTTGAAATCAGCTGGACACATCTAAAACCTGCAGTACAGCGGGCCTGAGACCTGGAATTGGCTGTTGTCTGCTTCAATGTTATAATGATGGATTGCATTTATATAAAATTGACAGACAGAGCTGGGGATCAACTGGCAGTGTTCCGGTTACAAGATGAGCTTCCCAATCCCCTGAACCACGATCGCCCCTTATGACTGGAAACAATGTTTTCAGCTGATAATGGTTCTTATGGGTTGTTGAGCCCAAGAGTTAAAATATGTGAAATTCTTTTCAAATTACCTTTAAAACTGAAGCAATGTGTTACAACTAGACATTCATTCACTAGTACCTAGATTTACACGTACTATGTATTAATTTATATGTCTAAACAGATCCTTCAAATAGTCTAACATATTCAGATGTCAGTGAAGTAAGCTTACCCATGACGAGGAAGAGAAGAGCCCCTGGGACTTGCATTTTCCAGATCTAGTGTTTGACAGAAAACAGAAAGAAAGCGTGATGCTGTTGCCTTGAGAAAAAAAGTATCTGTAATATTATTTATTATTTTAACATATCAGTGATATTTTATCCAGTCTTTACCTTAACCCTAGAACACTATCGCCGGGAGATTTTCACCCGAGCAAATGTATTTACATAATTTTCAATATGTTGCGTTTGTCTGAGTGTGGTGGGTCCCTGGGTAGCTTCAGCATTGTCTTTGACGTCTTTGAAGGCGTGGGTGTTTCCCTACCCCAAATCCCGCTTTTTCCTACAGGCATGTGTTTGGGTGAATTTCACCCGGCAATAGTGATAGAGGGTAAAGTAGGTTTTGGGTGGATTTCACCCGGTGATAGTGTTAGTGTATAAAATCAGGTGATCTTGCCGCATTTCAAGGGTGACAATATTCAGGCTCACCATATTTACTGTCCCTCTTCAACTACAGCTGTCACCCTGTTGCAGGTTTAGTGTCTTTGGCATCCCAGCTAGTGAGTAACACATAGGTAAGGTTTGTTTAACTTGGCAATTGTTAGCTCCAGTGCATTTCTCTTTACCAAAGAACTAACCTTGGTGTACTTCCTCCCTGACAAAGCTTCAAAAAAGAAGGTTGTACTGCTCCTGTCATCCATGCATACACAACCAAGCATAGGACCCACTCGTAAGCCCGAAGTGATTGAATTTTACAACAAAACAAAGGGAGGTGTCGATACTTTTGACCAGATGTGCGCTCACTATGGTTGTGGAAGAAAAACCAAGAGATGGCCCCTTTGCGTGTTCTATGGCATGATCAATGCTGGTGTGATAAACTAATGGATCATTCACAATGAGAATGCAATGAAGAGAGGTGAAAACCAAATGCAGAAGAGGCCTTATATGCAGGCTTTGGCATTGGCACTCATCAAACCATGGGCAGAGCAGAGGCTCCCCTCTTCAAATCTGTCACGTCAACTCAGAGTCCTGATCTGTAGCGTGCTCGACATCCCTACCCCTGGCACTCTTGAAGGTGAGGCAGGACCAGTGGCAGCAGTGGTCCCTTAGTGAGGTGTGCTGACTGCCCCACAGGCTTGGACAGGAAGACGCGATACAGGTGCCATGTCTGCCGGTGTGTCCACGCCATTACTACCCTGTGTGTACTGACTGCATGTAAGGAATAGGTAAGTAAGAGTGGTCCTGGAATTTGCACGTTATCCTTATTTAGTGCAGTGGTTATAAATAAATATCAACAAGTGGTGATTTCCAAGTGAATTCATATGGTAAAAAAAAAAAATTTAGTCAACTGGTCATTTTTACCCACTCAAAAAATGCCATTTTTTGTTTCTCTCTCCTGCAGCTGTTCACGTGTCAAGGAGACTGTGCCTTCACCAGGGAAGACTCAAATATCCCATGAATGGGTGGACCAAAGACCAAGTTTCCAGCATCATTATATTTTTGTTTAGGATTTGTTTTGTTCTCCAACTGCTAATTTTCCAGAAATTTTGGAGCATTTTTTAGGGTCCCCCCATGAAACTTTTTTTTCCATTTTCTTAGATATGGCACAGCTGAAAATACAAGAAAACCACTCTAATTTGTCATGTGTTGTCATATATTTTATATATTTTGATGACAAGTACTTTTTGTTGGGTATATTATATTTGGTAAAAATCACCCAGCGTTAGTGATGGTGTTCTAGGGTTAAAACATTTCTTTTTTACAGTTTGAATTATGAAAGGAATTTAGTCAGTCACAACACATCTTTGGTAGTTTATAGGAATATAAAAACCATCAAATAAGAGTGAACCCAGCAAACATTTTTTAAACTGTGACCATCCAATGTTTGCCATGGAAAACATAAATGCATGTGCTTTTGTTTCTTTAGCCCAGTGACATCTAATCCACATCTAATTTGACACCCAATATCAGCATTATCAAGTGTGGTTAAGTAGGATTGTGCTACAAGGCGTGCTCAGCTAAGGTTTACTGTACTTTCTACATGAGTACAAGGTTGCACGTCTTCTGAGAACGGACGTATATGGCTACAAGTGCTCTAGTCTATCCTTACATGCTGAAGAAGAAGATGTAGAAGCACTATCACAAAAAACTACATGTGGAAGACGGTGACGGTGCAGTGGCTCTCACTCTCAGACACTTCTGGCCTTGTTTTGTTGTTTTGTGCACAAGGGCACTCCATCCCACTGATATGACAAATATATATTGATATTATGCTGACGATATGACGTGGCACAGCCCAAAAACAGAATCGGTACATTATTTGAAGGTGGTAACTAACTGGTGACAACTAATTCTGTGGCTGTGGGGTGGCTGTAGCTCAGGTGGCAGAGCAGGTCAGCCACTAATCAGAAGGTTGGTGGTTCGATCCCAGGCTGCCTCCTGGCTGCATGCCAAATATCCTTGGGCAAGATACTAACCCCATGTTTGCCTACTGGTGGTGGTCAGAGGGCCCGGTGGCGCCAGTGTCCGGCAGCCTCGCCTCTGTCAGTGCGCCCCAGGGTGGCTGTGGCTACACCAGTGTGTGAATGACTGAATGTAGTGTAAAGCACTTTGGGGTCCTATGGACTAGAAAAGCGCTATACAAATGCAGACCATTTACCATAATTCATAAAACACAATATACAAATAATAATGTATATGTGTTAGTCCCCATAGGGAAATAGTTCCTCTGCATTTAACCCATTCACCCAGTGAAGCAATGGGCAGCCACCAATGCAGCGCCCGGGGAGCATTGTGTAGGGACGGTACCTCAAGGTAGCCATTCAGTGGAGTTGAACCCCCGACCTTCCGATCATGGGGCCACCACTCTGCCCTCCAATAATGGTGGAGGGCAGGGATAGCTCAGTAGGTATCCCTGCCCTCCAATAATGGAGGAGGGCAGGGATGGTGCTATTGTCGTAGGGGTAGTGCAGCAATGCTCTGCTTTTCTCCAAGTGAAGAACTACAATGTTCAGATAATCTGGGTAAAGTTTAAATGACACCAAAGGTTATTTCATGAAGGAGAGCCAATAAACAAAAAGGAATAATTCAAGCTGTAAAACTGACATTTAGAACTTACTACACATGTTCTTTAGTACTTTGCAGAATTAAAAAAGGGATTTCCTAAGTAACCTCCCCAAGCAATTTATTGCAACTTGTGCTGAATTTAACGTGGAAAAACGTTTAAAAATCGTGCCTGATGCGGTTGTGCTAAATGCCGTTACGAGTGTTTGGAATTCAAAGCAGGTCATCTAAAAAAAATACAGCGCTTTTCTACTCTGTCTGAGCACTCAAAGCACTTTACACAACTAATTCATTCACCCAAGCACTTTTCTCTGAGCTTTTAAGTGCTAAGTAGTCTACCATTTATACACATTCACACTCCGATGGATGCATTGGAGAGCAACATGGGGTTAGGATGGGCCTAAGGATATTTGGCACGGGATCGAACCACTGACCTTCTGGTTAGTGGCTGACCTGCTCTGCCACCTGAGCTACAGCCACCCCAGTAAACTGGAAGATTGATGGTTCAATCTCTGAGCCCAATCTTGGGCAGCTTACTAATCCTCAAGTTGTCTCTGAATGTTAGCTAGATAGACTTAAAAATTGCATGGAAAAAATTGCTTGAGACATACTGTATAATGTGCTTTGGTCAGCAGAGCACCGCGTAACATCAGTGTGTAATAGCTAGGTTTCATTTGACGTAGACGTGACGTCGACGTAAAGCGCGAAATTTGACTGGCGGTCGGAAGTGAAAAAGATAAGCGCAAAATCACAGACAGACAGTACGCAAAATGCCTATGTCCTGTTGTGTTTACGGATGCTCCAGTAGGTCGACCAGAGAAACTGATAAACGGTATTTTAGGGTACCAAAAATAGCCCAACGAAGAGGAGAAAAATGGAAAATTCTAACCGAAAAACGTAGGAAAAAATGGATTTTAAATTTACGTTTACAGTCGGGAGGAGCAGAGTCTGCCAATGCCCGTGTCTGCAGCGACCACTTCGTCAGAGGTAATGTTATGTTTGCAAACGAACTTATTAGCATTAGGTTGTCGTTAAATTCTCGTTTACTTAGTAGTCTAATATTGACTTGATTGGGACTATAGGCTGCCCAAGTGCTTTGGATGACGAAGAGTCGGAGGACTGGGCTCCGACGGTCAATCTCGGCTACGAACGAAAACCCAGATCGGAATCAGTTCTCAAACGAGAGAAAAGAATGAAGCTTAAGGCAGAACAGCATCGATGTGCAGAGGCGATTTTGGATATGCAACAGACGGCTGAGAATGGTTTACCTTGAAACAAACAACTGTCATTCTAACGAAGTCCTAAGGATGTGGCATGTTTGTTGACGTTAAAGCCGCTACCGCTAACTGTTAGCGTGTTTAAGATAAAGCAATATAAGAACAAACACTCACCCTTGCAAACACCAAACTGTATCCATCACGGAGACGTTTTGTTCCAAGGTTGTGGACCCACCCGCTGACAAAAAAATTGTACGCCTCCAGACTCTTGAAAGCTTTCATTTGCTGCCTAGTGTAGTAAGAAGTCTGGAGGACCAAGTAGTTGGTGATATCCACAGCCTCGATAGTAGGCAAATCCTTTACTTCTGTGGTGTATTCGGACATTTTCAAAGAATACGGATCACGTCCGATATATTTTTTAAACTATCTGTCTATATCTCTCCCGAGAAACGGGGTCTAAAGTTGCACAATAGCTGCTCTCCTGACTCTCCACAGTGTCCTCCATGTTTACTTCCGCCCTCCACTCAAAAATCGCGCTGCCTCCGCACGTCAACAGAACCACGTGACCGCAACCCAACTATTGGTGCAGATAAATGGCTAGAATGTAGAATTTTAATGAGACAGAATGGACTAAACTAAACCCGAACAGAATGGAGAGGGACTGGTTATTACAGCCACCTTCATTTATCGTAGCTCATGGGTTAGCTTGGGGGTTCAGGGTCTCCTCATTAATACAACCACATAATCACATAGTATGCAGAGAAAACAGGGCCCAGTAACTTCAGCGCAGGTACGATCAGGACCTAAACATAAATGTTGAAATGTTGTGTTCTCCTTAGAACCCAAGGAGAACACAAATCCACATTCAGTACTGGGTTTGTCAATACTTGCGTCACAAAGCGTCTTCAGTATCTGCACGACACGTAAAGAGCATAAAAAGAAAACCGCAAACAAACGCGCTTTTTTCTGCGCACTTGTGCTTCAACCAGCTGATTTTAGTTTAACTGACAGGAGGAGAAAACTGGGAATCTGCAGATGTGAGAATTGGAGATATGAACTTTTAATTTTTATTGTACAAAAAGACAAGAGTGCGATGGTAATGTGCAAGCGCTGCCAGGACAGAACAACTTTGGCTCTTTGAAACTAATGCGAATCTGCTGCGGCGTATAGTCTGTCTGATTCATTCTATAAGAACAGTTTCGGCTGCAGTATAAGAACAATAACACGACGCCTTTGTGCCGCACAAATGCGCAAAAAAAACTTCTAACAAGGAACAAGTGACGTTCAAGAAGAGGGATGCGTCGAGCCGGGGGAAGTTACGTCTCAAAATTTCATTGTGATATTTTATTGATTTATTTTTAAATCAAGCCGTGAGGACCGACCCGTTATGGTAACTCAAGGCAGAAATGTTTGCTGGATGTGGTCACAGCTGAAATGTGCACATGATCACACGTGTCGGCTGAACAGGCGCACAGGACAGCTCTGCCTGAATTAGTGGGTGATCTATGTGAGTGTAAGTGTAGTGTGTCTTACCCTTGGTCTTCCTTGGTTGCCTTGAGTGATTTGCAAGAGTTGGATGGCAGAAATGAAAAGGGAAAGAAAAACATCCGTGTAATGGGCAGGATTGGGCATGATGGAAGCAGCAGCTGGGGTGGAGTTTAAGTGCTGCTGCAGTGCACACATTGTCCCCCACTCGGCATTTAGAGGATTGATATTGAAATCGCTTGTTAAAAAAAGAAGTTTTTTTGCTTGTGTTTTATATGGAGACTTAAAGGTTTTGAGCAAAATGCATAAAATACAGGCAATTTATAAAATGCCAAAAAAGTTCATCTATCCACACTTATCTAATTTTTCTTGTAGTCAGTTATTTATTCATTTATTCCTATTAGATTTCTAGATTTATTTAAACTTTCTTTCTAATGTTTCCACTTTTGCACCCTATAGCATCCACTTATATGTCTCAACTATAAAGCGAAGGGCGGCACTTTATTTACTTTTTTAATCTACCAAAGAGGCACAAACTCAGATGACACTTTCACCAGAGTTTGTTGTGTGTGACAGATAAAGCTCTCCATGCACTAAGCAAGCACATGCGCATCCATAGGTGTTGATAGTACCACAGTTGAACATTATCTCTACATTTACTGCTGCACATTTTATTTATTTATTTTTAAGGTCTTTTTTGGTCTCACTTGATTTCCCTAAGGAAAAGTTGGGTGGTTAAAATCATTTTGACACACCATGAAGGGACAGACTCTGGTCTACATTCATCAAAAGACAATGTGAAAAATAAACACCTGCATATTCTTCCTTTATGTTTCAAAAACAGCTTTGACCTGGCGAGGCACTTCTGTGTTCTGTGGTGTCTGGATGGACATTTACAGCAGATCCAAACAGCCCTTAATACAAACTATTGAAATATTGTTCATACACATTATTTGCTGACTTTATTTCTGACATGTTTATAATATACGCTAAGATAGATCTTGAAACCCAGTTGGGCATCACTTGTTGGCAGCTTGTAGATATTTACGTTCAGATTCTTCAGATAAGAGAATAAGAAAAATAAAGATAAAATAAGTTTAAGAGGTGCTTACACAGGGACTGTATGTAATGCACGATAACACAAGTAGCCACACAAAAGGATATAGACATATCTGCAGGTACAGTGTAACCATCAACAGTTTATGTTGATGTTGTGCATCACACATTGCAATAAACCCTGTAAATGATATGTATCCAGACTGTGTGATCAAGGATGAGACTGGCATACCCCATATCATAATCCAAAAATTAATGACATTAAATAATGCTGAATTAATGAAAAGACAAAATTCAGATATTTCACACTCTCAGGTTTGCCTCATGTTGTGCAGCTGCATGTTCTCTCAGCCTTGGAAACGGAAACAATGCCTGTTGCAGTCATTACATTAATGCATCAGGACTAATGGATATGAACTTATGTCTTCATTTCCTGGATCTCCTTCCCCAGGGTAGCATTATGAAATGTTATTGAAAACAATGCAGTGCTATCCAACTGAAAAGGTTACAAACACAACATCTTTGAAAAGTCTACATGCTCATTTTCATGTCAGCAACATGTTTGACAGAAATTAAGTGGTAAAAAGAGAGAGAGGAGGTTGTGCAGTGCTTAAAAACAAATGTTTCATATTCATTGAAGTTCTTTGTCTGCATGATTATTAAAAAAAGTGGAAAAAGAGCCTCTGTGGCACAACAAGTAGTTCCACAGTTTAAGAGTCATGGCTCAGGGTAACGTTTCATTATCTACTGCACATAGTGAAAGATCACACTCTACCATGCAACGAGAAAACCCAAACAACAAGATCCACACACGCCAGCGTCTTCTGTGGTGCGAGGACGCGTTAGAATCTTTTTGTGAAGTGTGATGATGTAGGAAGCTATTTTTTTAAAGAAGAAGAAGAAGGAGGAGCTTTCTGAGGTTTTGTTTACATTTTTGATAAAGCACAGGTTTGAATAGTTTTTAACTCAATCCATTTGCAGTTTAGACTGTACCATGGTTGTTGTTTTTTTAAATTGTGGGGATTGAGTGACCCATGTACAATCGGAGTTTTGTAATATTTATATTAAAGTGACTGCACAACACCAACATTTGCTAGAATGAGCAGAAGTCAGTCACAGTTTGTTTGATAAACACGGCCAATGAGCTGTGAACACCAAGACACCAAGTGAATGTTACACCATCCAAGTCTGTCTCAGGACTTACACGGTCACAATCTGGTGATTATTATCATTCGATTCTAGGTTTTGCTGTCAGTTATGTAGTTTTGTGTGACTCAACTTTAAATGTTGATTTGGTTGTCTGCCAGTAGTGTGCCACATTTGTAGGATACTGTATAACTTTACAAGTGAACATAAGTGCAACATATGCAATGAAAACACTTCTTCCCCAGTAAGAAGACAACAGTAATGTACGGGCAAAGGGAAGATATTAGCGTAGCAGTCAAACTTACCCATGGAAAGCTTTAGATACAGGACACATGGATGAATGATCAATCATTTGTTCAAATTAGATGGAAAATGTTTGGAACCATTGGATCTTCGATTTATGTGAAAATTTGAAGATGAAAACGCTTTAAATTTCTAAATGCAGTTTAAAGTACAGACAGACAGTCTGACTTTTATGTCTTTACTCTTCAACAGATCAATACCAGCAGCAGAGTCTCTGGTTTTATGTGGAGACTACACCCAAGCATCTAACAGATCTAAGTGTGTGGCTAACCCGTCTACAACAGTGGATGGCTGAAAATGAGGCTTCTCACTAATTTTGTCCAAAATGTAATGCGACTGCAGCCTGCTCTCAACATCAGCTAGGTAAGAAGTAAAAAGAGCAGCTCTTTGTGATGCTTCACTAACAGAAACACCCCCACTCGACTCCATGTTCTCTTTTTGCCTGCATGGAGCAGCAGACGCACTCACACCAGCTTCCACAGGAGTGGGAGTAGTGCTGTGCCATACACAGTATTACCAAAACCAGTACTGATACTGTTAGCCTTTAAAGGCAGCAAAAATGAGTTAACACAGATTTCAGCTTTCATGTATTTTGAAACTGTGTTTTCTGGAAACCTGCAGTGTGAAAGTCTCTAAAGCACTTTAGTTTCTGTTGTTTAAATGTGCCGTGAGTGATGTCGCAGTCAACACAGAAAGGCTCAGACATTTTTTACAGTTCAGTTCAATTCAATTCAATTTTATTTATATAGCGCCAAATCACAACAAAAGTCGCCTCAAGGCGCTTCATAGATACAGAGAAAACCCCAACAATCATATGACCCCCTATGAGCAAGCACTTTGGCAACAGTGGGAAGGAAAAACTCCCTTTTAACAGGAAGAAACCTCCGGCAGAACCAGGCTCAGGGAGGGGCGGGGCCATCTGCTGCGACCGGTTGGGGTGAAAGAAGGAAGACAGGATAAAGACATGCTGTGGAAGAGAGACAGAGGTTAATAACAGATATGATTCAATGCAGAGAGGTCTGTTAACACATAGTGAGTGAAGAAGAAACACCCAGTGCATCACGGGAATCCCCGGCAGCCTACGTCTATTGCAGCATAACTAAGGGAGGATTCAGGGTCACCTGGTCCAGCCCTAACTATATGCTTTAGCAAAAAGGAAAGTTTGAAGCCTAATCTTGAAAGTAGAGATAGTGTCTGTCTCCTGAATCCAAACTGGAAGCTGGTTCCACAGAAGAGGGGCCTGAAAACTGAAGGCTCTCCCTCCCATTCTACTTTTAAATACTCTAGGAACAACAAGTAGGCCTGCAGAGCGAGAGCGAAGTGCTCTAATAGGGTGATATGGTACTACAAGGTCATTAAGATCAGATGGGGCCTGATTATTTAAGACCTTGTATGTGAGGAGCAGGATTTTGAATTCAATTCTGGACTTAACAGGAAGCCAATGAAGGGAAGCCAAAACAGGAGAAATATGCTCTCTCTTTCTAGTCCCTGTCAGGACTCTTGCTGCAGCATTTTGGATTAGCTGAAGGCTTTTCAGCGAGTTTTTTGGACATCCT